ACATGGACAACACCTGAGAAATATTGATGGAAAGCATGATCATAATTCAACATGGGCATGGCTGAAACTCAGAACCATTAAGAAAAAAACTGAAGGCTTGATTTTTGCTGCACAAGAATAAGCACTCCAAACCAATGTAATGAAAGCTAAGATACAAGGAATTAGTGCCAACAGTATCCGTCAACTCTGCCAAGAAGAAGAAACTGTCACACGTCATCTGCAGATGTCCCAAGACTGCACGAATACATTAAATATTGATGGAAAGCATGATCATAATTCAACATGGGCATGGCTGAAACTCAGAACCATTAAGAAAAAAACTGAAGGCTTGATTTTTGCTGCACAAGAATAAGCACTCCAAACCAATGTAATGAAAGCTAAGATACAAGGAATTAGTGCCAACAGTAACCGTCAACTCTGCCAGGAAGAAGAAACTGTATTACACGTCATCTGCAAATGTCCAAAGACTGCACAAATAGATTAAAAAATTAGACATGATAGAGTGGCAAAATTAGTTCACTTGTCATTATACAAAAATTTATAACTTTCCAGCCTCCAAAAACCCGTGGGAACATCAGGTAGAGAAGGTGTCAAAAAATGACAAAGTCAGGATACTGTGGGATTTCTGGATCCAAACTGATAGACACCTTAAATATAACAAACCAGACATAGTAGTGATAGAACAAAGAAATGTCTGGATCATTGACACTGCAGTTCCAGGGGATGCTTTGAAGACAAAGAATTGGAAAAACTAGCAAGTACAGAAACTTGGCTTGTGAATGGAACACACTTCAAAGTGATAGAACAAAGAAATGTCTGGATCATTGACATTGCAGTTCCAGGGGATGCTTTGAAGACAAAGAATTGGAAAAACTAGCAAAAGTTCAGAAACTTGGCTTGTGAATGGAACACACTTCAATGGTCCCAATAGTCATCAGGGCTTTGGAAACAGTATCAAGAAATTTCACACGATATTATAAGCAATTGCAGACCTCAGAAATAACACCATCAGAGCTACAAAAAACAGCAATGGAGCTACTTCATTGGTTTAGAATAGATAATACAGATTGTGTTAAAAAGAAGCTTCAACTCTGTAGTGATCAGCCTGCCTATGCATATGTATGAGTGTATTGGCATGCACCAATAAGAGTTGTTGGGAGGCAGAGCCAGAAAAACTTAAAAGGGAGGGGAAACAGACAGGAAGAGCAGATAGTGGAGAGTTGGAAAGCAGTTAAGAGTGAGGAACCTAGAAAGAATTAAGTGTAGAATAACTTATTATAAAACTACTGAAAGCTTTAACGTCTTTTAGGAATCTACAGTACTTATGTGAAACTCAAGATCTGAACTGTATCCAGTAAACCTGTTTTTTTGTTAAAAGTTACATGCAGTATGGACCTCAGTCTTTCCAGGTAAATAATGTTGACAGAGATCAACCGGTGGCAGCGTAAATAGGAATGTGGTGTGGACCTTAGATTAGTGAAATAATCCAGGGACATGCAAGGGGCATGTCACAAACTCCTATCCTTATGTTCCAATCTGTGGAACCCTTTGATTTCTCCCCTCCCCCGGCTTCCATAGACAATCTGGGAAAACACACAGGAACCTAGAAAAGAGAATTAGCCCAGGATGACATGTGTCTACAACCACAGAGAGGACTTCAATATGTATCATCAGTCTGAGCAGTAATGTTAGCAGCCAGGGTCAAAATTCTGAGGTTTTTGGTGATTGGAAAATTGTCTTTTCCCACTGAACTCTGTTTTTATCCTCAGGGTAACTGGGAGAGGGCAATACAAAACAGGTGTGCTGTTGTGAGCAGTCCATATTATTATGCAAAGGGGGGTAGGAACAAAGGGGATGGGTTACTGTGTGTGTATTTGGCTACATACCCATTAGTGTTTACTGTGTGTGTATTTGGCTACATACCCAGTACTGTAGCCAAATACAGTGGTGCCCCGCATAGCGATGATAATCCGTTCTGGAAAAATTGTCGCTATGTGGATTCGTTGCTATATGGAACAAAAAAGCCCATAGGAATGCATTAAAACACGTTTAATGCGTTACTATGGGCTGTAAACTCACCGTTATGCGAAAATCCTCCATACGGCCGCCATTTTCGCTGCCTGGTAAGCGAGGAATGGGTGCGAAAACACAGCGGGCGGCCCTTTTAATTAGCCAGCAGCCATTTTGGAAGCGCCGATCAGCTGTTCCAAAAACATCGCTATGCGAAAATCGGTAAGCGAAACAGCTTACCAATCATCGCAAAGCGATGTTTTACTACCTAAAACATTGCAATGCGATCGCTTTTGCGATTGCAAAAAAGCCATCGCTATGTGAATTTGTCGTTAAATGGGGCGCCCGTTATGCGGGGCACCACTGTATACACATAGTATCCCACAACTCTGCTCCCTGTAGAGATGAAATCTGTTATAAAGGGTTTGTTGAGATGAATCAGTCCAGTTGCCTGCATTTTTGAACCCTCTTTATGTGTAAAGTTTGGTACTGCCATGATAAGCACCTCTATTCCAAATTTTGCCACTGTCCCTCTGGGTCTTAGTTTAGTAGTTGAACTGATAGGCCATACGTCTGTTCCCTTTCTTCTGAACTGTGTTATTTTGATTTGCATCTGGGATAGTTCTCTACCTGGTATATGCATCTATAAATGAATGTCATTTCAGACAGGTTTAAACAAAGAACAGCCAAGCTGGCCAGAATTTTGTGGCAGCTTTCCATACAGTGTCTCCTTTGCAGGCAGGGATTTTAAACCATGTAGCAATTATTTTGTATTCTCACTTTACAATGATGTTATTCTGTGTTAGTTTCCCTCCGATATTTGAGGAGCGACGGGAAATTAAGTGCTGTGGTCTTCAATCATGTTCCCCTGGCGGACGGGAAGCGCCACAATGTCTTCCTGCGGCTAAGTAGCCTGCAACGTGGCCACAGCAAAGCAGAATTGTTCGTAGACTGTGTGCAAGTGGATTCCGTTCAAGATCTACCCAAAGCCTTCTCAGGACTGCTGCAAAGCTCAGAGTCTGTAGAATTACGGACACTGCAGAAAAAAACACAGGTGAGCTACTGAAGAAAACAGCCTTTGTGCAGAAAGAGCCTTTGTGCAGAAGCTCCGCCCTTTTTTATGGCCGAATGTTTGCCTATTGGCTGGCATTAAGCCATGCAGGGTCAGACCAGAGTATTTTCCTGTTTGGGCCTAAGGACATGATGCCATTCTTCTCTGTTCTGTGCTCAGATGGCAACTTGATGGGCAGTTGTTAGGGTCTTTTGTCATCTGAAGCCGGAATTTTGGTTTAGGGGGTATAAGCTTGGCTAGTACACACAGTTTTCCCTTTTAAGAGAGGGCAAAGACAAGATGGCTCAGGATGAATAGCTAGGGTATAGCCACAATGGCCCACCCCAGCATCTGTCACCTTAGGTAGTTGTTTCACATTGTTTAAGGGAAGGGCCATCCTTAAAGTCATGTCTGGGAGATGTGCTGCAGTTGTTAAGGACAAGATGGAGAGAGAGTAGGGAAGATGGGCGAGTCCACCAATCAAGTGGATTTTCTTGGTCTTACTCCGACTAAGATTGGTAAATATAGCTTCCCCTCATGACTGGGAAGGTCTGTGATGTTATCTTCTTTCTTTACATGTGAAAGCAGACTTAATACCTTCTTTTCAACCCCTGGCAAGGTAGGCAGAAATTCAACAGTTGTAACATTCCCTACTATGGAGATAATGGGAAGGGAATTTACCTGATGAATTTCTGAGCATCATAGAATTGTTTTGCTCATCTTAAGAGAGAAGGAGTAGGGGAAAGCATATAATAGCCTTGGGACTAAAAAAAGGTAAAGGTTCCCCTTGACAATTTTTGTCCAGTCGTGTTCGACTCTAGGGGGCGGTGCTCATCCCCGTTTCCAAGCCATAGAGCCAGCGTTTTGTCCGAAGACAATCTTCTGTGGTCACATGGCCAGTGCGACTTAGACACGGAACGCTGTTACCTTCCCACCAAGGTGGTCCCTACTTTTACCACTCCCCTCTTCCTCTGTATTTGAGTGACCTCATTTTTGAAGTTCATGCCTTTTCTATGCCTTTGTGGGTGTTTGATGTACCAAATCTTGTTCTGCTGTTCCAGGATACCTTAGAAGAGCTGAAGCTAGTAGTAAGAGGATCATTATCCCAAGTAGCAAGCCTACAAGACTGTTTTCTACCACAGATTGAGCCAGCAGCTCAGTATCCAGGTAACTTTATCTATTGTGTTTCCCCAAAAATAAGACAGGGTTTTATATTAATTTTTGTTCAAAAAAAACAACAACGCTTTAGGGCTTGTTTTCAGGGGATGTTTTTTTTTTTCATGTACAACAATCTACATTTATTCAAATGCAGTCATGTCATCTTCTTCTGGTTGCTGAACAATGATGGAGGACAGGGTTTCACTTAACTGAGGCTTATTTGCAATGATGGAGGGCAGGGTTTCACGTAACTGAGGCTTATTTGCGGGGGGGGGTAGGGCTTATATTACGAGCATCCTGAAAATTCATACTAGGGCTTATTTTCAGGTTAGGTCTTATTATTGGGAAAACAGGGTAGCAGTGCAAATAAACTTGGCCCTACAAATTACGTTTGAAGCACTTCCTCAAAAATATCCTGGTAAATATTATAAGAGGAAGCAAATGGTATTCCTAGAGACTTATATCTTATATCCAGCCAGCAAAGTTATCATTAAACGGTAATGTTTGGTATCTAGAGCTGTCCTGGTCACCAGACAGTATCTTTCACTTCTGCATCTGACAGCTGGATGAAAAGTTCTTATTATGTCTTTGTGCCTCCTTTGACCCACATAGACCTTGGAAATATTATTTTACTAGGACTTAACTTCCAGAAACCCACACAGTGGTTTAAAAGGTTCTGGGAATTCGTTCCCCTCAGCCTGTTTCAAGCAAGTCACTGCTCTCCTTTTCTGAGGATCAACAGCCCAGTGCTAGCAATGGTTTTACTTTGACACAGTCCTTGTAAGATAGGCCAAAAGGCGAGGACAGGGAGCAACTTGCAGGCAATCATCAAAGCCTTTGAGTCCTTTTTCCCTCATGACTAGCAGAGTATGAAGTCATGCAAGTAGTATGTTTTCTTCTTCTTTCAGGTTAGATGAATACGTTCTTAGAAAAGCATTATCTTGGCTTGCGTTGCAGTACGGGCATGTTTTCTAGGATTTTTCTAGGAAACCTGTTAAGCAGATCCATCAAACCAGTAGCCAAAAACAATTTAAACTGAATTGCTTTTCCATATGTAGACCAAAATACATTTTTCAAAAAAAAATCATACACATAATTGGATTGAATATCTAGGTGGATGAATGGTTTTGTTATTTAGTTTAGTGGTGGGGACAAAATTGATGGTGAATGTGATTGGCTGGGAGATCTGCTGTGTGTTGGGCATGGTGTCTCAAAATGCAGTAGTAGCTGCATTTCTGTTTCTTCTGGCAGATTTTCCTCTCATGACTGCGGCAAGAAACATCAGTGGTCCTAAATGTGTGTGGGCGGGTGTGTTTGCCTCTGTTTTCTGCCTCTGTATGTATATGATGTCTGCACACGCACACACATTGCTTTGTGACTCTCATGGCAATCAGAGCTTGAAAAAAATTACTTTTTTAGACTACAACTCCCAGACTCTGCAGCCAGGTGGGTCAGTGTTGTTGTAATTTGAAAAAGGACTGAAAAATATGCTGTGATTGTAGCTGGTCTGGTCTTAACTGTTTTTGTGTCAGAGGGGATTCAGCTTGGTTAACATGAGAGCATTGCAGCATAACTACTGGACTAATTTCAGCCTTCCATGTATGTTTAGAGGGTGTTTGTTGGGAGAGGTATCATGATTGAGGTAAAGGTAAAGGTTCCCCTTGGCATTTAGTTCAGTGGAACTCTAGGGCGCAGTGCTCATCCCTGTGTCCAAGCCGTAGAGCCAGCATTCGTCCGTAGACAGTTTCCGTGGTCACGTAGCCAGTGCGACTAGACACAGAACACCATTACCTTCCCACCAAGGCGGTACCTATTTATCTACTCACATTTACAGTGGTGCCTCGCTTAACGAGCGCTTCGTTTAACGACAAATTCGCTTAGCAATTACTTCTTCAGAGTGATCTTGTGCTCCGTTTAACAATGTTCCCTATGGGCGATTTTCGCATCGCGATGTTTGGGACCATGCTTCGCATAGCGATGACAGTTTGGGTCCCCCTGTTTCGCTTAACAATGGTTTTGACAGCCTCATGTTGGCTGTTTTTTAAATGTTTAAAAATGTTTAAAAAATGTTTAGAATGCTTGAAATCATAAGTGCACTTAATAAACCCTTTGTTAAACTAATTTGACTTTGTTCCAACCTTTTTTAATTTGTTGTTGAATTCCCCCCCCATTGAGATGCATTGAATAGGTTTCAATGCATTTCAATTGGGGAACCGCATTTCGCTTAGCGATGTTTCCTATGGCGATTTTCGCTCAAGGACGGCAATTCGTTCCTGTTGGAATGGATTATACGGTTTTCAATGCATTTCAATGTTTTCCCATAGCGACGATTTTTTTGAACCAATTAAAATCATTAAGCGAGGCACCACTGTACATGCTTTCAAACTGCTAGGTTGGCAGGAGCTGGGACAAGCGACGGGAGCTCACTCCGTTGTGTGGATTCGATCTTACAACTGCTGGTCTTCTGACCTTGCAGTACAGAGGCTTCTGTGGTTTAACCCACAGTGCCACCACATCTCAGAATCATGATTGAAGGGTCTATCAAATCAAAATAGAAACAAAAATTCAGTATTTGTTTTCATTTTCCATCAATATAACAATGTATAATTTATTTTCTTGAGTTTGGGATGTTTTTCACAGAAACCCTGTGAACCTCGTAACCTCAAGCCTGGGTCCCTAAGTGTTCTTGCATTTCAATGCCCAGAAGTCCTAGCCAGCATGACCAGTGGTTCTGAGACTTTTAGCTCAACAACAGCTGAGGACCTAAGGTTAGGAACCTGCATTTTATATGTCTCTGCCAGTATTTGACTTAGTAAAGGAAGCCACAGCCTTCAGTTGGCAAGGTCTGTGCAGGGCTGTTTGTGAGAGGAACTTTTGGTGGTTACCTACTCAGAAGGTCACCTTCCCTCAGAAGGAACTTGATAGGTGCTAACGACAACAATGAAATGCTATCTACTTTTTTGGAAAGCCAAGCTGCCTGGCCTTTCCTTCCTGTGCCAGTTGAAATTGTGGAGCTGGGTTTCATCGTAGAATCTTCTGCATATAATGCTGTACAACTGGTCTGTGGTGCTTCCATTGAGTTTGGGGCATTTCCTCACTCCTTTTCTCCCACTCTCATGATATTTCACCCTTGCAACCCATGACCATCACAAAGAATGCCTTCCACACTTCCAGGGTAATACTGGGTGTTCTGTGAAAAGGTCTTTCTGAAAACACAGGACAATAGCAACACTGCAAAGATTTTGTAAGTGTTTAACACTATGACATATGCAAAGTGTAGGGTCCCTGTTATATAGACAGATGTGACAATTACTTGAGGCGAAGCAGTCACTGGCATACAACCTGAGATAAACTTTATATTGCTGGGGCTGCAGTGAGGCATGTAAAGCATGCTTGGTATGCAGGCTATGAAACCAAAAGAAGAAGAAAGTCTTACCCCAGTTGATCTTTGGGCATTTTGAAACCACAGGTGTTGCAGCCTGTTCTGACATCTAGCAGTGCACTGCAAAATATATGAGTGTACAGAAAGAACCAGGCTTTTTGTCTATACAATTGGACTGAGCAATTTTGGCAGATGTAGAGTCCAATTATGCCCTCAGCCGCTTGGGCTGGGACCCACTGCTGTACCAAAGTGGAGCAGCAGATGGCTCCATAGAATTAGGATTGCCACAAGGCAGGGAAACAAGCAGGAAGTACTTGGTTCTGCAGCAAACCATGAAAACCAATGTAAACATTTTCCCCCCTGATTGTTTTAATGGTAATTGATGCCACTCTAATTTGGTAGCATTATTTGTAGCCAGATTTTGTACCTTTTTGGAGGGGAACCTAGAGTTGCAAAAAGGGCCTTGGGTAACCTCAGATTGCTCTTCTGAGCTGACATGCCAAACCTGTGCAGGTTTACATAGAAGTAGGTAAAGGTAAAGGTTCCCCTTGACAATTTTTGTCCAGTCGTGTTCGACTCTAGGGGGCGGGGCTCATCCCCGTTTCCAAGCCATAGAGCCAGCGTTTTGTCCGAAGACAATCTTCGGTGGTCACATGGCCGGTGCGACTTAGACACGGAATGCTGTTACCTTCCCACCGAGGTGGTCCCGATTTATCTACTTGCATTTGCATGCTTTCGAACCGCTAGGTTGGCGGGAGCTGGGACAAGCGATGGGAGCTCACTCCATCGCATGAATTCGATCTTACGACTGCTTGATCTTCTGATCCTGCAAGCACAGGCTTCTGCGGTTTAGCCCGCAGCGCCACCACGTCCCTAACTTACATAGAAGTATGTTCCATTAAATCCAGTAAGACTTATGGCCAGTTAAATATCTGTAGAATAGCATTCTTAACTAGTGAACATCCCAGTAACATTGCTAAGTCAGTACTTGCTGATTTGTAAATGTGGCAGACTCTAAAGTCCACATTTTTCAAGGCTGGAACGACACACTAACTTAGCAGACATGAGTCCTTGAACTCAGAAATAAATTGTTTATCTTTTTCTAAATGTTATCTTTTTCCAATATAGCATGAATGCAGAGTGGAGGAGCACTTTGGGTGGAGGGACTGGTGCTTAACCCAGCACTCAGGGACCCCTCCCACAACATTACCCTTCTGGACCATTTTGTACCTAGGCCAGGTGGACTTCTGGTCTTGGAACACAGTTCTTTTTCCAGGCAGTATTTTAAAATGGTGCAGGCATGATTATGAAGGAAAATGTGAGAGACTAAGCACCTGTTGCTGCCTATTGTTAGTGACCTGTAAGTATCCTCCACTCCTGCATCCAACATGGGGTTGGAAAGCACTCCAAATGTTGCCACTTATTGCATAGAAGGAGCAGATGAACATATATGGATTTTCTTTATAGCAATTACTAAACACCTTGGAAAAATAAATTTACTATTAAAACATTAATAGTCCATCAAAAATACAGTGGATCAATCAAAGCTTACAGAACATAGAGCCAATTTTAACAGAAAGTTTTATTTATTTAAATGCATGAGGTGCATCATGTACTCACATACATAAATTCCCTCTATCAAAGTGAGTATATTGTATTTTGGTTTGAAGACTTACCCGTACATGAAACGTGACTTTGGCATTTTTGATATTCCAAGTATTTCCATTTTAAAAAGGGGGGAAACTCTCCAAAGTATTAACACAATCCTGCTAGTAAGTGGTCCAGTGTTTACTTAAAAACCGCAAAGACAATTCTCTTCTTGAAGTGTTGTTAAGATCCTTTGGTGCGGCACATGATGTTGGTTTCTGACAAAAAACATTTGTGTCGGAGGGTTTTTTTGGTGTGGGGGGGTTAGTCGTAGATATTTATTTGTAATATATATTGCTGATTAATTATTTCATTTTTGTGCTGTGCATTTCAACTCATTTTTAAAGGCCTAGGAAAATAAAAAAGTTTTCCTCCCCACCCAAGCATCTAAATGAGAGCAAAGGCAACCCAAGCATTTCTCCCAAGGAATTCCACAACTGTTGTGCTACAACTGGACCATCTTTCAGTAATCATTCATCTTCACTTTGATATGCTCAGCTGCTCCTAACCCTTGATGGTTCTGATTCAGTGAAGGGAATTCTCTTGTTTTGCTGGGAGCTGCCTCCATACTCTAACACTGTAATCTATAAAGTGTCTCAGTGATGCATTTGGGTCCTTGCTTGATCCGCACCAGTTATTCGCCATGAAGTTTGTGGGTGAGACTTTTGGCTGCAATCTTTGCACCAGACCTAGAGCAAGCAACATTGGAAGTAAGAGATGTGGGACCCAAGGGCTAGTAGCTATCCTTGGAGGCTTCCCAAAGTGCACTTAGCCTTGGAAAGAAGACAAGCATACCCAATGATGCTTGCTATCAAGGAAAAAAACTCTTCCATTTTTGATAATACTGCATTGTGAACTTGGTGATACTTGGATGCAATTCATGGCCATTTCAGGGGGAGGCAAATTAGATCCTTGGGTCTGCCAGAGTCTGCCCCTGAACTAGACTGAGGCTGTAATGCTGTCCACTATTACTTGGAAATAAGCTGTATTGAACTAATAGGGCTTCCTCCCAAGGAAACATGCATTAAGATCAGGCTTGGAAGTGAATCCTCTTGAAGTGTAACAGGGTATACGAGTAAACATGCTCAGGAGCCAGGGGTAAGTTAATTGAGGTTTAAATTCTAGATTAATCTTTTGTTAGGTTTCTAAGCCTATTGTGTTATACTATCTCATTATTTGCATTTTATTGTCATAGGTGCTTCTACAGGTGACTTTAACAAGCAGTTGTTAGGTCACATGATGCAAATGAACCAAATTCTGGGAGATGTGAAAGATCTTCTTAGACAACAGGTATTTGAAGAAGTTTCTTTAAAAAGTTAACTAAATCACTGTTTCATGCTTTCTGTCTGCAAGCCAAAGTGATCCCTTTTCACCTCTGGCAGACCGTTAACTCTACTGTGAACACCAGTATAAATCTCTGTGCCCAGTAAGAAATATACCTAATAAAATAATCAAGTGCCTTATGAGTTACGGAAGACTGGTTAAGCTTTTTGAAATGCTTAGCATTGTTCATTCCTGAACCACACGATTGGCTTCTGTGGGCTACATTCCAGGAAGAAACCTGACTCAGAACGTAAAGATATGCCTAACTTTATAAAGCAATTTATGAGTGGCGAAGCTGACCCTGCTGGTTTTTCCAGACTTAGCAAAGGTATGGAGACCCTGGCACTGATTTTGAGACATGTAAAAAACAATACAATGAGACCAGTCTGTGATCAGGCATGTGCTGTTCCTCACTCCATGCTTTCTCCCAAAAAATCTCAAAGCATACTTACCTACCTGTTGGTTACTCAATCACTGAGTGAGAGATCTACTTGGTCGCACTGCTTTTCTGTGATAATCACTGGTTTTGGCCAGTAGTGAGTCTATAATTCAGCAGTTGATTTAAGCTCAACGATATGCATTCAACATATAACTCATGTTCATATTTTAAGCTTGAGCATCATACTAATATTTATCCATTTGTCCAGACGGATGGAAGTCATGGAGCAGGCTTGTCGTATGACCCAATATTAACCATCATACCAATGGAAATAGAGTATTTGCAAACATAGGCTGTAAATTGTGTTCTCTGTATTTTTTTTCTGGACAGCTCATAATGGTGACAGTGGCAATTTAAGGGCAAATGAGACTGATGCGTATGTTATTTTATATTTGTAAAAGGTTAAAGAAACAACATTCCTGAGGAATACCATAGCAGAATGTCAGGCATGTGGTAAGTTCTTCCGTATGTCCTAGTTTAAAAGATTTTATAAACTGTACTCTCAAACTACAAAAGAAACAGTAGTTGTCCTTAATCTTACTTGGAAGGATAACTTGCTAAATCCATGTGAAAATGAGCAAAATGGGACAGCATTCTCTTAATTAGTCTACTGGTTACAGCTATACACAGTGACCAAAATCTTGTTGTTTAGCAGAGTAATTTGCACTTGATTAAACCATTGAATCAATGGAGACTAGCGAGTCAACTCCAGTGATTCAAATGCCTTTCCCTAACTGCTACTTGGTTTAGAATAATGGGCCTATTTGAATCAATGGTATTTATGAAGTTGAATCACTAAATCTCCATTGATTTAATTGGCCTATTCTAGTGTGATTTACTACAATAAGCCACAGGATTTTGGCTAGCATGTTCATTCAGAGGTAAGCCCCATTTCCATTATGAGTATGCATAGAATAAATATGATGCAGTGGTTAAACTGTAGTACTCTGCAGCCAAAACTATGCTCATGGCTTAGATTCAATCCCAGGTGGCTGACTTGAGGTTCACTCAGCCTTCCATCTTTCTGAAGAGTACCCAGCTTGCTGGGAGAGGGGGCAGTGTGTAGCCTCCATAATTAAATTGTAAACCACCCAAAGAGTGTTTTAAGCAGCACACTCTGCTTTTTTGTTGTTCTTGTTGCTTTGATTGTGTGAGAATTCGAAATCCTAGTCCTAGGAGGTCCAACCCACAGAAATGTTAAATAAGGGACAAAGTAAAGAGGCACTTCACAGTTTCCTGAAGATACTGACTGATATTTGGCAAGCTATAAATTTAAAAATCAAAATGAACACAGAATCCAAAGTGACCTAGCTATAGAACGTTTCCTTTTTAATGGCATGGATTAACTGGGGAGGTAGCTGTCAGTATTTCTCTCATTAAAGAGGATGCCAATACTTGTATAAAAACAGCACAATATGGAAAGTCGCTTGCTTGGCCTATGAATCCACACATTCCCTGGTCAGCATATATGCTAGGTATTCATGCAAGGAGATTTTAGGAGCTGTGGTCCAACACAACAACTTTTCCAAGGTCTTTCCCCCCTTTTGTTCTGTGCAAAGAATGCATATGTGTTTATTCTGTCCTTGCAGAGGAGGGGTGCCCTGAGTGGTGAGCAATGCTAGCATCAAGGGTCAGCATGACTGGGCTCCTGCCAAGAGCCCCAGTGCTTACAAAGGGCTATTATTGACCCCCAGCCTTCCAAAATCCACTTCCTTCTCATATCCTTGTTATTGCTTCCTGTTTCCTTGTCTTTTCCAAGCATACAAGCATGAGAGTAAGGTGAGAAAGCAACTGCTTCACCTTGTTATCTCTTTTTGGGATTTTTGGGCTCAGAAGGAGAGAGCAACTGAATTTATTGTGGGGTTAGTGGCAGGAAAGGGGTCACTGACACAAGGATGAGGCTCCCACTGAAGACAACCACCAAGGATCGCAAGAATCTGGGTACAAAAGTCGTCACCCAGCCGTATGACATATGTAAGCAGAAAACTAGGTGCATGCTTTTTTCATCATATAGTTATCTCAGAAAGCTACTTCTTTGGTCCAGCAAGAAGACTGAGCCTTTGGCTTTGCTGGGTGGAACTGTCAACCAGCTGGTGGCAAGATGGCTAAAAAAATACTGTATTTTACCATCACAGGACTGGGAGCTGGAAATTTTCCCACTCCACCCCCACAACCCCTCAGGCCCAAATGTGAACTCAACACTTGTTTCCGAGGGGTGCGATGTACAGACACAGCAGATGGGTTTCAATGTGGACCGTGTCCTGAGGGCTTCACTGGAAATGGAGTTATTTGCACAGATATTGATGAGGTAAAATGTTATTTGTTTGTTTTCTTAATGGACACATGCCAACATTTTGAGGGAGAGAGCAGAGTAAAAGTGAGATTTAGTGGAAATCCAGAAATCCTGACTTTGGGTGTCATGTACCTTGAATTAAGTTTGGGTGTGTCTGATGTACACACACATGCCATTTACTGCTCAGGTAGTGAAATATTTTGGATCAGCCCTGGTGAAATGCATGAGTTGCCTTTTCAGTTATTAACATCATAAGTAAGGATGCTCTAGTTTATAATACTAATACATTCTTGAATGGGCTCTTAACTTTGCTGGCTGGCTGCTGAGTAATGAATTCATATGTTGACTAGACTGAATGTTTTTCTTTCAGTGTCGGTATAATCCATGCTTCCCAGGCGTAAGATGTGTGAACATGGCTCCAGGATTCAGATGTGAAGCTTGTCCACCAGGGTATACTGGGCAGATCATTCAAGGACTTGGAGTAAATTCTGCCAAAAATAACAAACAGGTAGAGATGATCTCATTGCCAACAGCAAATAAAGTCTGATTCTATACCTGTCCTAGAATATTTCTTCTTCTTATGTGTCTCTCATACTACATGAAACCATATGCTATTTTTTTCCAATTTCCGTTAACCCTACTGAAAAACCCTATCATCTTCTCTAATTGGGAAAAACCTCTTCTCATGGTTCAGTAGCCAAGGCCTCCCAGCAAGTTTATGGGCTTAGGGCACATGTGAAGTTGGGACCCTGTAGCTGCCCCTTGCAAGGACCCATGAACACGGGAGCTTCTGGTGAACAACATGGCAATGCTGGGACTCAGTACAGTAGTCTGTCAGACACAGTAAAGTGAGGAGGAGGGCCTTGCCTTGTGGACTTACCAGTTGCCTCCCCACTAGCAGCCCTGTCAGGAGACAGTTCAGTGTCATTATAAATCTTGTGTGAGGAGGATTTGGTGATTGTCGTGGGCATCTACTTGGTACACCAAGAGGCACAGATTTGCCCACACTTTCTGTGCTCACATCATTTTGTTACCTATTTGGTAGCTATTGTTTATTATTACTAGCATTCCCCATTTTAGAGGTTAACTGCCCATTTGCTTTATCTCTGCAGCAAAAGGAAGACGTATCTAGCCTTCCAAATACATGCTGGACATTTATTCCAGCTGTTTCCAGGCTACCTCCAAATAGTTTCCAGGGCCACAGACAACCCTGGAAGAACCATTCACGTTTCTTCTTCCTTTCTGGCTTTACCTGTCTCTCTCCTGTCTCTGCAACGTGTACACCTCATATGAAAAGTCAATGTGTAAAGATGCTTTTTGAGGTTTCCTGTCTGGTACAGATAGGAGCCTAGATCCCCATAGTCCAAGCCTACCAGCTACATCAGGGACTCTGCCTACTTACTAGCAAGGAAATCAAGAGTGTTTCCAGCAGAAACTTTTATTGGGCAAACCCACTCCCTTCTTTCACTTCCCAGATTTTATGGGTCTGGGGTCTGGATGTCATCTTCCATTTGTTTGCATAGTTCCCCACTGCTTTTATTCTCTCTTTTTTCGGCATTCAAAAAAACTAAGGATGAAAAAAGTGGAGAATCTGCACAGTATATTTGGATTGGTACTGCTAGGAATCTTCCATATGGAGTCATCCTAAGTCAACCTTATCCTGTGGAATGATCCCATGATCTTTATCAGTTAGCATTAACTACTGTATTTATTATTTTTTTCATTTAGCCTTAACACTAGATTTTTTTAACATCTCTACCAGCTAGATACATTTTATCAGACTCTTTAATCTACTCGTATTGTTTTTGAACATCAGGCTCACTGGGGTTACCTTTGTCTTGTCTGCTTTAGGTCTGCATGGACATAGATGAATGTCAGAACAACAGAAACGGAGGTTGCGTCTCAAATTCACAATGTATAAATACTGTGGTAAGTGCATGGTCATTTCAGGTTGTTCAAATGTGATTGTTTGGTTTGTGGCTGCAGTTGTTTGAAAAGCAAAGGCCAGCTCACCAAAAACAAAACAAACAACATACACACAAAAACCCACCAAAAAAAAACCCTCCGCCACCTTGTGATGTTCATTTCAGTGGCCCTAGTTGATGGAGAAGCCTTTGCTTCAGTGGGTCACATGTTTGGTATAAGCCTATCACATTAAACTAACCAGCGACACTACTTTTCTTTGATTCTTGACACAACAAATGATGTTATGGATATAAATAAATATTGCTCAATTTGTTCACAGGTCACATGTTTGGTATAAGCCTATCACATGAAACTAACCAGCGACACTACTTTATATTTACAAAAATTGATATCCCATATATGTCCCTGGGGGAAAGTGAACAAATTGAGCAATATTTTAATCAGCCTTAAAAACTCTAGCTGAAAAATAATAACTGCAACAGTTTTTAAGAGCAGCAGTTGAAGTAAAGGGCTATTGAATTCCTTCCCTCCTTGTAATCTTGAAAAGCCACCTTATTACACAGGGTGATGAATTTCTTCTGACAGCTCATTGCAAAATGCAGATGCAACCACAGAAGCCAGGTGGTTGCATCTGCAAAATGCAGATGCAACCACAACTTTTAGGAGGCCAGGTGCTCTGAAAATACTGCTTCAGATGTCACATGTAGTATGCAGGAAGACACATATAAACAAGGTGGGCTAGCTTTTCTTTTTAAAGTTTGAATTATTGGAAACATGAGTCTAATTAATCAGGCAGCAGATTTATTTTGAAAGGTGTATTCTTCTCTAATGTATTTTTTAAAAATCAGATAAAATCATTTTTAAAAGGCATTCTATCTTTTAACACAAGAGGGAGTGTTGCTTTTAAAACAGGAGAGGGCAGCAGGACTGGGATCTACTGGGACATTTCCAGGTGATTTTGACAATAGTTTGGCAAATGTTTTTGATGCCTGATTATCTAAAAATTAGCAACAACTAAAAAAGCCTTTTTCCTGCCCTTTTATCGTAAAAATAGTTTCTTGGGAAAAAAAAGTGCTTTACATAAAACCACCAGTGCATTTTTGTGTGAAAGGAACTTTGAGCTTGGTTCTGGTGCTGTTCACAAATGTGTATATTAAACATATGCTCAGAGGTTTCCTGTTTCTTAATTCTTAGGAAGTAACCATGCACTTGAGTATCTGGCTTCAGATGGAGGATCTTAGGATTCTAGTTTAAAGCAAAGAACTGAATTCTGAAAATGATGTCTCCTGTGGTAATGGCATTTAAAAAAACAACTGAAATAATAGTATTGTACTTCAGAATTATTGTTTTATTCATCTTCAAATTTAGTAGATTAATCAAACAATGTATTTTTTTTCCAAATGTGCAAGAATCCTAGTTAAAAATAATGGATGTGTGGCTTATAGACATGTTTGCTCTCCTCAAAGGGCTCTTATCGTTGTGGTGCCTGCAAGCCAGGATTTATAGGAGACCAGGTCATGGGGTGCAGAGTTGAGCGAAGCTGCAGAAGTCGGTCTCTGAACCCATGCAGTGTCCATGCCCAGTGTTCTGAAGCAAGGCAAGGAGACATCTCCTGTATTGTAAGTTGATGCCGTTGGTATTTCCCAGAGGAATGCAAGCAATGAATGCAATGTGGACATTCAATCTCCAATAACATTGTATTTGTAATTTAGCTTTGCTCTGTTACGGCTTTATTATTTATTAATCTAAAAGCTTTGTGTAGAGCTGTCTGCTGGGGTAAAATGTTAAAGGCAATGGGCTCACAAAGGATCTGATGCCCTTTGTGCTTTTGTAATGGCTTTGCTGCTGATACAACATACGGCGAGTCCTTCTTAACACAGACTAAGAAGTCTGCACAGAATGGAATCCTGGACCTTGTTCTAGTTCTGTACCATTTTTGTTCACAGTGTGGCATTGGCTGGGCAGGTGATGGCTTCGTGTGTGGAAAAGATATTGATATTGATGGCTATCCTGATGAAGAACTTCCATGCTCAGCTGAAAGCTGCAGAAAGGTAACGAGCTCAACTGATGTATGATTCTTCAGAGTGAATCACCCTGTCGATTCCTTTTAAACTACATTCCTGTTGAGAAGGTGCCCTACAAATGCAGAGGAGAGTGAGAAAGTGTGGCAAATAGGATAAACCCTCAAAACCGATGTTCTGCTACCTGGGTAAAGTCTTCTAGATAGTGAAGTTCAACTCTGTTTGTGCCCAGCCAGTCATCAGGCAGCTTGAGGGAGGCTGCCCTAAACCTTGTATGTTTTCATACAGGACAACTGCAGATTTGTTCCAAACTCTGGACAAGAGGACGCTGATGGAGATGGAATGGGAGATGCCTGTGACGATGATGCAGATGGAGATGGCATTCCAAACGATCAGGTGCTGGTCTGTAGCAAGTTGTGCAAAGGCTCTGTGAACACCAACGATAGCCATCCTGGCCATTGTTTTGTCTCTGTACTCACAGAACATAAATATATCCATTTCCTGGAATTTCTTGACATGAGTTTTGCCCCACTAAATCTTGTGCCCCAATGCATTTGAAAATCCCAAGAGTCTTCATCGTTTTCACTTGTAATTTTCAAAAGTGAAGATGGAAGAGAATAACAGTGAGGCCTGCTCCTCCGGGGAGGAAGGAACTGTAGTCAAGAGCCCTTTTCCTTTCTCTCTTTCAGGATAACTGTGTGCTGGCTCTAAACGTTAATCAGAGAAACAGCGACCAAGATATCTTTGGTGATGCTTGTGACAACTGCCGCATGGCATTGAACAACGATCAGCGAGATACTGATGGAGATGGCAAAGGAGATGCCTGCGATGATGATATGGATGGAGATGGTGGGTGGACTGTTCTTGAGACAGGCTGAAGTGCATGCTTTGCCCATCATGTTTAGTGAACCTTTGGAAAGGGCAAACGGATCACATGCCTGCTGTCAAATACTCACCAAGGTTTAACATCCCCCTTCTCCACATTCCCAATTCCTCCTAAATCATCTTCTGATAATTGAGTCATATCATGGGGTCCACATTTAAGCATTATTAGAAGTCAACCAATGTTTTTGTAGGCATATTGTTTATTCTCAAGGCTCTCTTGGGCTACTGGCCATGTGTTGTTTTTACTTTGTGTCCCTTTCTTTCTGCAATGATCTCAGAATAATGTATGGCAGTGCTTCCCACCCTTTTTAGGGTTGTGACCTCCTTTTATAATAGCCAAGTAACTTTTGACCACCACCACCCACCCACACACTAAATCTGCATAAAAAGGCATTTTTAATAGGGTAAGAAAAACACATTCAAAATAGAAAGAGAAGGTAGGTGTGCATTGGTCCATAACACCCAGCAGCAACTGCCCACTCTGTGACAGGAGTGGCACATCTGTTTTGTCAATCAGCAGTTGCACCAACAACCTTGGTTTTGTCATAGGTCCTTGCCTCCCTCTGTGAAAATTCCCAGAGAGAACCCTCTTGAATATTGCAATGTAGCCATATTGAAATAAATAGGTGTTGAAAACCTTTATTGTGAAGTTTCCTATAAAAATAATTGCAGTTAAAAAGAACTGTGGTGATCCCCCCGAAAACAGTCTGTGGCCACCTTGGGAGTCATGGCCCACAAGTTGGGAGCTTGTGATATATGGGGATTACCTTACATCACCCAAAGAAGGATCCTCTGAAAAAGGTTAGATGGAATGGAGTTAGGCTTGGGGCCAAAGATACCCAGTGAGCTAAATTGCCAGGTTCTGATGTGAAATGACATCTGCCTGTTCCACATCCAGTATGCTGTCTGCCACATCGCACTCTCTGTTATGAACCATCGTGGCGAAATCGGCTGAGGTAACTGAGGAGTTACCATCCAAAATGCCTCACTTTTCCAAGTTTTGTTATGAACTGACAGAAAGACCAGAAGATGATATTGATTGATCGTTGTGGTTTTATTTAGGCATTAAGAATGTTTTGGACAATTGTCAGAGGATTCCCAATCAAGGACAGGAAGACAAAGATAATGATGGTGTTGGTGACGCCTGCGACAGTTGCCCAGACATTAGCAATCCCAATCAAGTGAGTAACAGGAAGACAAAGCTGTAGAGAAGCAAAGATTTTGCTCCTTCATGGAACCAAAAACAGGACTTTGGTTTCATGTCACTAAAATTATAAGCATGTTGGTCAATCCTAGTTTAGTAGTTACTCATTTTTATATCATTTTACAGTAGCTTATCTTCTAAGAGTTCAGGGAGTTTTATAAGAAAGTTAGTAACTTAACAATCAGATATATATATTTGAAATTGTTTCATTAAATAGATTAAAAGCAAAGTTATGATTACCTCTAAATGGTATGGCTCCTTTGCATAGTTCAGATCTTGTTCTGTCTTTGAATACATCCATAGATTTCCCCCCTGAGATGTAAATGTTTAAATTTTAATCAGGAAATATAAGAAGGTCTCATGACTGTAATTGCAGAATATTAAATGCACGGAGTTCCCTCATACTGAGACTATTAATGAGTCTATCTGGCCAGCTGTGTGTGGTCTAAGTTCACCATAATAGGCACCAGAAAAACATAGGCAGAGTTATTTCTTTCTTCTTTTAACTGAGATCTTTAATTCAAAGACAGTAAAATTCAACATTAAATTGTCTACATGTAAAACATGTGCAAGGTATCTGTACTCTCAGATCTTTAATTCAAAGACAGTAAAATTCAGATTGTCTACATGTAAATTGTGTGCAAGGTATCTGTACTCGGTTTTCTCCACATCACTGAGATTAAGCTTGGTGTCCATGATTATTCCTACTGATTCACATTGGTAGCTCTTTCTTCTGTTTCATTTTTTAGTTTGTTTAGCCTTCTCATATGTTGCTGTATTTTATTAGGTTGGCTCTGTATTGTACATCTTGCCTTTTGTATCTGCATCTCTGTTTCTGTTCTGTTGGTTGTGTATGGGTGTGGCTTTAGCTCTTTGTATTTTGTTGCATTACAGCTCAGTTTAAAAAGAGTTATGGGATATCTGGAGAACTTGTTCTATAGGTATCCTAAATATAAGTAATTAATTGATAGGACTTTAATTCCAATCTTGCAAAGGATTTTGAAAAAGAAAACTGAAAATGATTTTATTAAGGCTGGATCTCTAAGGATTAACCATCTGTGTCTATAGAACACAAGAATTTATGTGCAGGTAGGAGCCAATCCATCTTTACACTGGCCATTGGTTGAATGGCATGTATTGAATTATAATAAGTTTCTACAATATAGTTATAGATTTTCTCTTTTGTAATTCAGTGTTTTAGTATGTTTTGTTTTATTTCTGCTTATAGTCAGATATAGACAATGATCTGGTAGGTGATTCCTGCGACACCAATCAAGACAGGTAAGGGAAACTTTGATCTGATATATTCAGTATAGCACCCAGTCAAACTTAGCTAATATTGGTTGATGTGGGTTTTTCGGACTCTTAGCTAATATTGTTTCTGAAGCATATTATGACTGAATTTTAGCTTATATTATTTCCAGTCCATTGTACCCATTAGTAATAATAATTGTGTGTAATCAAGTCAATTCTCATTTAACATAATAATTGTGTGCTATCAAGTCAATTCTCATTTAAACTTGACCCTTTTTCAGGGTTTTCTTGGTAGAGAATACTGTGAATTGGTTATCTTTCTCTTCTTCTGGGGACATCTTGGGGCTGTGCAGCTTGCCCAAGGCCACACAGGCTGGGTCTTCTTGGATGCACATATTGCCCAAGGCCACATAGGCTGGGTCTTCTTGGATGCACATGGGGAACTGAATTGCCAGCCAGATACTTAACTTACGGAGCTATCAAGCCACTTATTGTACCCATTACTGGAACTGAAATACATCACAGTGTATTTCCATGGAACATTTGTTCCTTGAGTTTAACTTGGATCTTGGAAAAGTTATTTTTTTGACTACAACACCCAGAATACACTGAGTATGTTGGCTCGAGGAACATTTGTTCCTTGAGTTTAACTTGGAGCTTGGAAAAGTTATTTTTTTTTTGACTACGACACCCAGAATACACTGAGTATCTTGGCTTGGGGATTTGGGGAGTTGTAGTCCAAAACCAGAACACTTCCAAGTCCTGCTCTTCAACCATGTAAGCAGCCTTGGGTATTTTTAAGCAAAAAGGCAGAGTAAAGATCTTTTAGATAAATAAATATCAACAGGTTTTCTGGGATAACTTAATTGCCATTATATTCCATCACTGGAAGGAACAAAGAAAAGGGGAAGACACACAAAGACATTCTGAGTAAATAATATATAACCAGTTGGTTCAAATGGAATTTAAGCCCTAGTCAGTTGTTAGGAACCCAGGGAGGAAGATTTAGCTTCAAGTCACCGTCAGGATGTGGAGGGCAACTTTTTGAAGAGTGGAAAGACATTTTCTTGTCTCAAATGCAATCCTTGTGATCAGGAATAGTGTTTGCATGGAAAGTGTTCATAGATACGGTAAGTGAACCTAGAAGGTTGCCAGAGAGTGGGTTAGATTGCTCTCCGTGGTCATGTGATCATTCAACCCGATTTGTAATGACAGAAGAGGTCCATAGATAGGAACAAAGAAAAAGGAACTAAGAGAGGTGGTGGTTGTCTTATTTATGACATCTGCTTTGCTCTTATCCTAGTGATGGAGATGGACACCAGGACAGCACAGATAACTGCCCTAACGTCATTAACAGCTCCCAACTAGATACAGATAAAGATGGACAAGGTGATGAATGTGATGATGATGATGACAACGATGGAGTCCCAGATCTTATTCCACCAGGGCCTGATAACTGCCGGTTAGTTCCTAACCCAGGACAAGAGGATGACAATAGTAAGCTTCATCTATATCTTCTTCCTCTCCTACCTCAGCTTTACCTTTAAATTTAATCTGTGCAATGATGGTCAAGTGCCAAAAAAAAAATATTGGCATAGCAGTTCTACCACTGCATATATTAGCTGTAGAAGGAATCTTTGGTGCAGTGGTTAAACTGCAGTACTGCAGCCAAAATCTGCTCATGACACAGGTTCAATCCCAGGGAGACATTTTGGTAACCTTCCATCCTTCTGAGGTTGGTAAATGGAGTACTCAGCTTGCTGGGGGGGGGGGGTAAATGGAGTACTCAGCTTGCTGGGGGCGGGGGAGAATTTGTAGTCTGCATAATTAAATTGTAAACTGCCCAGTGAGTGCTTTAAGTGCTATGGGGTGGTATATAAGCAGCACCTTTTGCTTTGATTTAGAAGGAACATTAACAGAGTAGAATTTCGTAGCATCATGTGAAGAGCCAAGGGTGGCCTTCCAGTCAGATTCACCACCTGAACCATGAACAATTTAATGAAGATGATGAAAGGTCATAAATAAAATAGACACAGGGCTACATCTTTTTATAAAACACAATTTTTGTTTTTGGAATGCTACATTATTTTATTCTAGGTTGATTCACCCATACTAATGGCCATTTATTAATTATATAAAAACTTCCACAGAATTTGCATTCTACCTGGGCACTAAAAAGTGACCTGAGGGAAATTCTTCAGGAATAGACTTTTTTTTATATAAGGCTGGTCAGGTTTACTAGTACTGACTGGTTTAGCAACTGTGACACCATTCCTATGTTCAGATTACAGCAAGTCAGCCATTCATCTCCCAGGTAGCATCCCAATGGCTGCCTTACCTGCCTTCTGCTTCAAGGTAATTAGCAAAATCTGAAATTGAGTGAGGCCACAAAATGGCTTCTCCCCGAGTCTTCCATGGTGATTCACAGTTCAGCTGTGTTTCTCTACGTACTCTGGAATAATGGAGCCTCCTCCAGAGCGTGGCAGAGCCTTTAAAAAACAGCCACCACCATTTGTAACACCTAGAATCTTCCAGCTGGCATGACCACTAGCTACATTGGTTGGGGGAATTCTGGGGGTTATAATCTAAAAAAAAATAACTGCCTAAGCTCTAGTTGCCCACCCCTTTCTTTCATTATTCTGGGAGGCTTGGTTCAAGAACTCTTAAGGTTTTCAACTCTGGTTGTTCTACTCTACTTTTCATTTTTCTGGGAGCCATAGTCAGGGGTGGGAGGAAGCCCTTTAAAGCCCTGGTTCTCCTCCCCTGTGTTTCAGTATTCTGAGGGTTGTGGTCCCAATAAGTAACTTTCCTGAGTTCTTGTCGCTCCACCCTCCCTTTTCCTATTCAGAAACTGGTTCTTGCCATCCTATTCTCATGTGTTTTCCATATATTTATGGCATTTGCAAATGAACACAACCAATTTCTTATGATTTTTCTGGTATAACTTTAGCAGCAGCTGTGCAGTGACATCCGCTGACTGTTGCACTTATGTGTCCAGGTGATGGAGTTGGCGATATCTGCGAGTCTGATTTTGATCATGACACGGTCATTGATCGCATTGATGTTTGTCCTGAGAATGCAGAGATCACCTTGACTGACTTCAGAGCTTATCAGACTGTTGTCCTGGATCCCGAAGGTGATGCTCAGATTGATCCAAACTGGGTGGTTCTGAACCAGGTAAGCTATTTCTGAACATCTAAGAGAACAGAGTTTGTCGAGTTGCTTTTAAAAAGTAATTAGTTACTTGCTATCATATTCGGCAAGTCATTCATTTTCACTGCTCATTAAAGTGTCAGAAAAGGAACTAATTGTATTGCTCATTAATATTTATTAGATAATGAGAATCTTATTAATTGCAAATAAATGACAAATTCCTGTCAGGAAGCCTCTAAACTGTTCTTTAATGATAACTTGGAGAAGTAAGTAGAAAGCATTATACTAGTGAAGCTATTTTATTCTCACTTTTTGTATTACTTAGGAAAGTTAACTTGGTTATGCCTTCATTACACATTATAAAATAGTTAGTCATCATTATTGGGAAAGAACCTCAAGTTTGTTCACAAATAAACCAAAATAAACAGTTCTCCTTTAACAAAGTAATTTTGCACAGAGACACTGCAAATTTTGGCTCTAGAGGTTCACTCTGCATCATTGGGAAATCTGTTTGAGTGCAGGAATTGATGGTCACCGATATTGTCTTCATCTGCCATCTCCCGAGTTATTTTGTGGGTGGTCTGAAGGTGCCCAGACTTTCCACGGCATCTTTCTGGGGTGGGTAGGATGGCTGGATGGGCCATGGGAGAAAGGGGCAGCTTCTTGGCCAGGAATCTGTTGGGGCCCAGCAGGGCATAAGACTCCAATCATGTTGGATCTCGTACTTGGGACTGGTACACAAGTGGAGATCCCTGTCATGGAAAGACAGCTTATGCTCATGGAAATCTCTTTGCATAAGAATCAGGCAGTCTGTACTGCAAGCAATTTGACTCCATGAGATCCCTGTCCTTATATGTGTGAAAATGCTTGCAGGCATTCATGACCCATGTTATAATGAAATTACCTGCACAGAGCAGGAGGTTGCACTTGGTGGCCTTACTGTATAAAAGGCCTCCTCCAACTCAGTTATTCTGTGATTCTATGAAATGCAGAACGAGGTTGCTGATAGCATTTCAGAAAGGGTGGGGTTTTTCGGGGGTTTTTTGACTGCAACTTTGAATTCCTCAGCTTGGGAGGTTCTCAGAGTTGCCATACACAAATAAACTTTACCAAGCATTGGCTAGAGACCCAAGAAAGGGGATTAGAACATTGTGTTTGGAGCATTCAGAATACACTAGTTGTGTATTTCCAAAGGCCATGAAGGAAGGTGTTTGTTTTTTGGAGAGAAAAAAAAATTAAGAAATATTTAGGAAACCAAATTTTTGTTTTCTATATTTCTATACAATATTTGGCAGTAGCCGAATATGAAGCAATGAAAGCTTCTGTTGGTGGTGTTTTCTTTATTGTTGGGAATATTTATCAATGAATGAACTGCTTGAAATAAAGCCAGAGGAGACATGGATGGGCTCACAAGATGATGTGGCTGGGGACAAGCAAGGAAAATGGTCTTATTCATCCTTTGGGTATAGCAGTACTAGATAAAATGCCCTTATTCTAGTCCTTTTTTATGTTATGTGCTATCAAGTTGGAATTGACTTACAATGATCCTAACAGGGCTTTCAAGGTAAGTTAGATATATAAGGAGTCATTTACCAGTCCCTTCTCCATCCCACCCAGGGAACTTCCATGGCCGAGTGGGGATCTAAATCCAGGTCTCTTGAGTTCTAGTCTATCATTTACATCTAATACACGGCACTGGGCTCCGATTCTAGTTCTGTTATTTCATCAGTCATATTACTTACATTTTACAGGGAATGGAGATTGTGCAAACCATGAATAGTGATCCTGGACTTGCTGTAGGTATGTTGAAATTTGGTAGCAAATGTGTACCCAACTCCACAGAACAAGTTTCTGTTCATGGCTTATCACACTTTTGGCTCAAAAGATTTCCATAGGATCCCCATCCTACAACCTGCATCCAGGATGCATGAGAACCTTTTAATATGTACAAAAAAACCCTAGCAGATACTCAGCTCAAAGGCTACCTATCTCATGTTAGGAACGCACGGGAAGAGGGCAATTGCAGGCATCCTCTTCTCTCCTAAAGGCAGGATGGTAGCCTATGGCTTGGAGCATGGTTTGGATGCTTCAAGCAGTAGTCTCAGTCTGTAGCATCACTGTTTAAAACAGGGCTGGGCAACTGTTTTTATCCAGATGTTATTAGATTGACCCCCTCCATCAGTCCTACCCAGAACATCCAAGGAAACTGTAGTTCTCCAGATGCATTGGAATACAATCACCATCACCATGCCCAGACAGCATGAAATTAGGGAAGGCTGAAACAGATAATTCTGGGCTGGATAGACCTGTGACCTGTCTTGGTGTAGAGCAGTGATTCTCAGACTTGGGTTCCAAGATGTTCTTGGAATGCAACTCCCAGAAATCCTGCCCAGCACGGCAAGTGGTGAAGGCTTCTCGGAACTGCAATCAGGAACATCTAGGGACCCAAGTTTGAGAACCATTAGTGTAGAGCACTTGTTGCCTGTGATTTAATATTCCTAATAGCTTGGATTGGACCTCTTGGATCCAAAGGTATAACAAGTATTAGTGCAGCCTGCCCCAGAACTTGTCCAAGTGTTTTCTGCTGTAACTCCCATAAGCCTGAGCCACCAAGGCCAAGTGTTGTGATAATGGGAATTGGAGCTTAAAACATCTGGAGAACACTGTGCAGGTTGTATTAGTAATGGGTTTGGACTTGATCCATATACCTCTACATTGAACAGGTTACACAGCCTTCAATGGAGTAGATTTTGAAGGCACTTTCCATGTGAACACCGTGACGGATGACGACTATGCTGGCTTCATCTTTGGCTACCAAGACAGCTCCAGTTTTTATGTGGTAATGTGGAAACAGACCGAACAGACGTACTGGCAAGCAACTCCATTCAGAGCGGTTGCAGAACCTGGAATTCAGCTCAAGGTATTGGCTTGAGCCAAAAGAATCAAAATCTCATTAAGATGTATCTGGCAGGGCATTTGAGTGGTGTGGTTTCGTCATTGGCTTATTTGGGTATACGTGCCCATTTTCTCATTACAGAATGGAAAAAAAATAATTAAAGTATCTGGTATTCCTCAACATTCTCTGGAAAATGCTTGTTAAAGAGTGAGCATTTTTTTCTTTTTGATGTATCTTTGCACTGTGTGTTTCTGCTTAGGCTGTTAAATCAAAGACTGGGCCAGGCGAACATCTTAGAAATTCACTGTGGCACACTGGGGACACGAATGACCAGGTCAGGTTACTTTGGAAAGACCCTCGAAATGTAGGCTGGAAAGATAAAGTTTCCTACCGCTGGTTCCTGCAGCACAGGCCTCAGGTTGGATATATTAGGTAAGGTAGTGGACACTTCTTTCGTGGTGCCTTGTTCAATATTGCTTGCTTTTGCTTCAATCCAAAAGCCAAAAAAAAACATAAGTAGGCCAGTATCATGCTGAGAAGAAATTCCCACAAGAGTAGTAATGGAAGATTATGCCATTTCTGCAGGTGGTGTCAGTATACATACAAGCACAGGGTGGGTTTCCTTCAGGAGATCACAGATTCTGGGTTACTATGCTGGCAGGACTTTCCATTCAGCAGAAACTCAATAGGATAACTGGCCAGAGGGTTGGCCCTACCATCATCATTATTGTTGTTGTTGTTTCTTCAATTTATACACTGCTCCATAGTGCTCAGAGCACTCTGCGGGTAATTTACAACATACCGGTAACTATGTAAGGAACACATTCCCCACTTCCCCAGTTCACTGGATACTCATTTGACTGACCTCAGAAGGATGGAAGACTGATTCACTCTTGAGCTAGCTACCTGAACTCGTCAGGATCAAACTCAGGTCATGAGCAGAGGCTTACCTGCAGTACTGCAGTTTAACTGCTGCATCATGGGGTACCTCAAGCAGAGCAGGAGTGTCATGAAAAGCAGGGGCAGCTCAAGGACCAGGATAAGAAGATGGCTTCTCTCAAAATTTGGGGGAGGAGAGGTGCCTCCCCAATCCAGTCACGAGTCACTGTGGATGAAAGGGCAGCAAATGTGTATCTGTTTAATTTGATGTTTTTGTTTGTGGCTGCCAGGGAAAGGAAAGGCACTTGTTGGATTTTCTGCTTCATGAGGCAAAATCATTAGCCTGACTCTGGATGGTAGACTGTTGGTTTTACCTCAGTCAGCCAAGAGTTTGGGAGCCAGTGAATGACCTCCTTTGAAGACAGAGGGATTTACTTTTCTCTGTGCTTGTGCATCTTAAAGGAACAATCCCAGGTCACACCAAGTCTTTAACAGTCTTGTTTGTTCTGCTTTTTTTTAAAGGGCCAGATTTTATGAAGGTTCTGAATTGGTAGCAGATTCTGGTGTAACCATAGATACTACCATGCGTGGAGGAAGACTTGGTGTTTTCTGCTTCTCTCAGGAAAACATTATTTGGTCCAACCTGAAGTATCGCTGCAATGGTAACTTTCCTCTTGCCCCATGCTGTGATCTTACTCTTACTGTATACGTAGTTGTAGAAAGAAAAGAAAACTGCTTTTTGAAAATTGCATGAGTGTTCCTGGGCATCCCCCTGCCCCCCCCATACATGTCTGAAACTTATGAAATACCTTGTGTCCGATACAGACCTTGCAAAAAAATACTTTTTGGACTACAGCTCTCAGAATCTTCTAGTCAGCATGGTCACTGGTGTTCTGGAAGTTGTAGTTTTATGAAAGTAACTTTTCTGAATTCTGGTCTAACATGACTTTATATCCCTCTGAGTTGCTCAGATGCCAGTTAAACTGATGCTGCCTTTGTTGTATGAATGGATTTGGCTGTAACAGGCACACCTCGGAGTTTAGAAAGTGTGGAATCAGCGATTACATTGGATAAAAACTCCAAGAGTAATCTTTGCACAATGAGGAGCATTAAGTTTATCTCAAAAAATGGCACTGCTAAAGAGCAACAATGCAGCTCTGAATGCACACAGCAAGACATTGTTTCATATAGGCAATTGTGTCCCTAGACTAGCTGCTGAGGCCACCCCATAGGAAGTGGTCTCCAGGGGGTTGAATGAACCCTTAGGTCACTGACTTCCTGCTTGGAGTTCGTTCATAAAGACTGTCCATCAGAAATGGTGTACACCTTGTTGACAGTGAAAGCAGCAAATGTACAATGCAGTGCACACAGCAAGACATTGTTTCATATAGGCAATTGTGTCCCTAGACTAGCTGCTGAGGCCACCCCATAGGAAGTGGTCTCCAGGGGGTTGAATGAACCCTTAGGTCACTGACTTCCTGCTTGGAGTTCGTTCATAAAGACTGTCCATCAGAAATGGTGTACACCTTGTTGACAGTGAAAGCAGCAAATGTACAATGCAGTATTACCTAGTGGAACACTTAATTCACAGTATTACCTAGTGGAAAGGCCCACTTAATTCAAGGGGACTCAGAGCCACTGACTATGATGGCTGTGGGATTCTTGATGAGTTTTTCCCCACTCCAAAAATATATGACCTTTCCAAGCTCTGATAGGACTAGGTTCAAAATAAATGTGTATAAGGTTGGCCTGCTTATCCTTATTTCATTGCATGACATCTTATACAAGATGAGCCCAGTCTTAAATTAACTGTTATGGAAGTGTCAGCGGTTTGTCTCACTAGTCAGATGTAGGGCCTCTTTGTGGCAAGCTTGAAAGGCAGAATTAGAGCCAGTTGTTCCATGTGGCATCTATAGAATTGTGCCAACACAGAGCCACAAAAGCAAAAACATTGGAAATGCCCTGCTCGCCTAGCCTGGCGCTAGAATGGCTTAGACAAGGCAGTGGGGAATGCTTCTGCTTCGAGGCACTCAGTACACTTCCAAACAGTGCTGCCAAAATTGCTATTCCCTGCCCTGCCCCTGGCCCTTCTGTTGGAAATGTGTGGGAGAAGAGATATACCCAGAAGTGGGGGGAATACTGGCATGTACTGTTTTTTTTACTCAACTATCAAAGCCAGCTGGCTGAATAGCTCAGTGGTTCTGGTATCTGGCTGCAGAGCCAGAGGTTGGGAGTTCAATTCCTCACATGCCTCCTAGGAGAAGGGCCAGCCTGTGTAGCCTTGGGCAAGCTGCACAGTCCCAGGGTGTTCCCAGAGAAAGAGAATAGCAAACCATGTCTGAGTATTCTCTTTCTGGAAAACCCTGACTTGACAGCACATGATTTATGGTTATCATCAAAGCTAGGCAAAGATTCATGTAGTGTGCATTCTGGCATGGTGGATAGAGTTTAGTACAGTGGCTGTGTGATGTATGATCTTCCCATGTGGGATGTGTGTGTCAAATCATGACATTGTGGTAAATATGTAATTCACAAATGCATCAAGTTGAAAAAAACCCTCCTCCCCTAGTTTTTCTTGGACTGTTTCTTCCTTTCATTCCCACCTGGGACCTGATGAAACCCATTCCCTTGCATTGCAGTTAGCCTTTGTGAGGTGTGTGTGTGTGGGGGGAGACACACACTAGCTGCAGTGTAGAGTAGATTTCCATCAGAATTATGGATTGAGTGGAGCAAAACAAGATGTTTAGCCCAACTTGCAACTTGGGATGTATATTCAGTTAGCGAATAGGAAAGCAGAATTTATTGTAAAAGAAGAAGAAAGTTTAATAGCAGCCAGTAAGAAGCCAGTGTGCACCACTCCTAATCTAAATGTTGAAAATTAAATACTCAGTAGTTGCATAGCACAGCAGCAACTGTTCAGACAAACCTTTTACCTCTTTTCTTGTTTGCAGATACCATCCCAGAAGATTTCCAAGAATTTCAAGCTCAGCAGTATGGAGTTGGAGATATTTAAGAGATACTGGGACTGCAAGTTACTATGGCAAACAATAAAACAGTATATATTAAATTCTTATATGGTTTTTTTGTACAAGTCCACTACACTTATTCTGATTGGTATAAAACTGTCAGATCTTTTATAATA